GCCGCCCCCCGCCACCGCCGCCGCCCGCGGGCCCGCCGCGGGGCCCTCTGCCGCCGCCGCCGCCGCCGCCCCGGGGGCTCGGGCCGCCTGTTGCTGGTGGAGCGGCGGCGGGGGCGGATATGCCGGGCGGCGGCGGGGGGCCCTCAGCGGCGTTGCGCGAGCAGGAGCGGGTATACGAGTGGTTCGGGCTGGTGCTGGGCTCGGCGCAGCGCTTGGAGTTCATGTGCGGACTGCTAGACCTGTGCAACCCGCTGGAGCTGCGCTTCCTCGGCTCGTGCCTGGAAGACTTGGCGCGCAAGGACTACCACTACCTGCGTGACTCGGAGGCCAAGGCCAACGGCCTCTCGGACCCGGGGCCGCTGGCCGACTTCCGAGAGCCCGCGGTGCGCTCGCGCCTCATCGTCTACCTGGCGCTGCTGGGCTCGGAGAACCGGGAGGCCGCTGGCCGCTTGCACCGCCTGCTACCCCAGGTGGACTCGGTGCTCAAAAGCCTGCGCGCGGCGCGGGGCGAGGGCTCGCGGGGCGGCGCGGAGGACGAGCGCGGGGAGGACGGCGACGGCGAGCAGGACGCCGAGAAGGACGGCTCGGGCCCGGAAGGCGGCATTGCGGAGCCCCGGGCCGGTGGCGGGCTCGGCTCCAGGGCCCAGGAGGAACTGCTGCTGCTCTTCACCATGGCCTCGCTGCACCCGGCTTTCTCCTTTCACCAGCGGGTCACCCTGAGGGAACATTTGGAGAGGCTCCGCGCCGCACTCCGCGGGGGCCCCGAGGACGCGGAGGTGGAGGTGGCACCGTGCAAGTTTGCCGGCCCCAGGGCCCAGGTAAGGCGCACGGAGCTTCCCTGGACTCGCGGTGCGACCGCTGCCCCGCCGGCCTCCCCGGCCTCGCTCTCGGACGCCCCTTGCCCGAGGCCCAGCCCGGCGCAGGTGGCTCGGAATCCCCACCCGGCAGCTCCCAGCGCCAGAGGGCTGGGCTTCGTTTCGCTGGGCCGCTCCGTTCCACTCCCCCACCCCACCCCACACCCTGGCAGACACAGCCACCCGCCATCACAGAATGCTCTAGAAGTCTCTTCCGTGCCACGGTGTTGCCACGGAAGACGTGGAGCTCCCCGCCCGGGGCCCCAGTCGGAGGAAGAGTGTCGGGACGTTTTTGGCTCTGAGCATCTCAGCGCTCGGTGCGGGAGCTGCGGGGCGCTGGAGGAACCTGTGCGAGAACCAGCCGCAGTGAGCCCCGGGCAGCGCCGTCCTTCCCCGCCTGCCTGGCCGGGGCTCCGCCTCCCGTTTCGGGGCTCTGCCGGGCCCTCGGCGGGGTGTCCTGAAGGTGCGCTCCCGGCGAGCTGCCCTTGTCTTTGGCACAGAGGGACTTTTTTTGCTCAGTGTGTGTCTGAGTTAAAAGGGGTCGTACGGGTCCTTGTGGCTCCTGCTCTGAGGGCTTGTGTTCCCAGCAGACATCTGACGTAGAGACCTGCGAATGGATCTGAGATGAGCAGTAAGGCAGGTTGTCCGGGTGGAGAAACCTCTCCTAGCGCGGCCTGGGATGCTCTTTCCCTCCGACAGAAGCGCTTTCTCACGGGCTTGATTCCTGCCTGCAGATTGGGGTTCCGGGATATTTGTTGGGCGTTTACGATAGGCGTTTAATGTTGCCCAAAAGAACTACTTAAACACCGAAATGTAGTAGACCAGAATCCAAATGAGCCACTTGTCGGAAACATTAAAGATGAAATTTTATTATAGCCATGAAAGCAATTTAATGATAATTAGGGTCCAGTGAAGTCTTTGAGGAGGACCTTTCCGTGGGAAGCGGGGGGAGGAGTAGGTTTCAGTAAGTGGGAGACTGTAAAGTGAGATTGTGGGGTTACAGGCTTTTGAGAGGTGTTGATTTGGATGCCATGTTTTTCAGCTTAGGTGATCTCTAGGAGATAATGGAAAAGGGGATTTTCTCCTCTCTTTGCTTGAACGTTAATTGAGTATATATATCTGCTGTCATTTAGTACCTAGAACTAAAATCGGGCATGGTATTTTACTAGTGGCTTTGTGGACTTAGTACCCGTGGAATCAATGGATTTGGGGCTGGAAGGAATTAGAGATAATCTAGCATGAACCCCTCTTTTTTAAAACGAGACTTGTGTGAGGTAACTGACTCATGTTTTGGGACGTATTTTATCAAACTCGGATGTAATGCTAGTGCCCAGCGTTATCTCGGTGAGTTTGAAATGTTGTCATCTTCCAGTGCCTGTTTACTACTAGCATGCAGTGCGTGTTCTGATGGTAAAAACCTCTTCCATCTTTCAGCCTACTCGTTAATTTCCCAAAAGTCCTATATGCCGCACAGCCATTAAACTTAGAGACCAAAACATGAATTCAGGAATAATGCTCATTTCAAATGTTACTGTAATAACATGCAATATTGTAAAGATGGCCTTAAATTGCAGGCCTAAAGAAAATGTCCCACAGTGGAACCTCTTCTATCATGCCATTCATACTATTCCAACAAGGGTACCTGATTTCTGATGTAACTGCTGGAAGTCTCTTTTTATTTCCCTTTTCTTTCTTTAAATTTTGCTTTTAATGAGCGTGATGGAGGGCAAGTAGAGGAAGGGGAGGGATGCGTGCAGACCAGGGTAATGTGATTTTATGTTGACCGCAGTGTGTGACCTTTTTTCTGTAACCAGTGAGTGCTGGGAGGGATGGGCAAAGTGAGGTTGGGCATTCTGCCATTAACCTCAGCACATCACTGCTTCTTAGGACGTGTCTTGTGCTGTGGTCATCAACTGAAGTGGGGGAATAAATCTTAGGGGCCGCGTACTACAGGTGACACTGGGCTATTTCTAGACGCTTGGTGGTGTGGTGAACTTCTCCAGCAGTTGCTTAGGGTTACCGTAACACATCATTCGCATCTCATTAAGTTGTTAAGACCCCGCATTTTCTGCTGCTTAGAGTGACCTCCGAGTCCCAGCTGTGGCTTGTTCTGGCCTTGAGGACCATTTATCTGATGATGTTGCTCCCAGGCTGTCACTCCGGAGGCCGCTGATGCGCGGGTGGGCTGAGTTAAGCCCTCATTCGCGGCAATCCTGCCCAGCTGTTCTCGGCCTCCCGCCGCCGGGAGGGCGGACGCACCTCTCCGTCGGCAGGGAGGAGCCCGAAGCTCGCGCGCCCCTCGCGTGGAGGGACCGCGGCCCGCCGGAGGGGCCAGGAGGTCACGCGACGCCCGGGGCCAGCGCACGGCGGTGTGGGGCCGGGGCCGCGGGACTCCTCCCCGCCCCCGCCCTGCAAGATGGCGGCCGCGCGCCGCCCACGTGACCGGCGCATCGGCCCCGCCCCCAGCGCCCTCTTGGCCTCTTCCCGCGGAGGCCAAGTCTTGGGCTAGCGCCGGAGACTTCCAGCGGGACTCGAGAACCACGTGGATGCTGCGCTCGGCAGTGCTGGGCCGTGGCGATAACCCTGGTAAAGGGAAATTTGTGTGGCAGCGTTTTTTCCCCCCCGGAAGTAACCTTTTAGACACAAGTATGCTACTTTAATTGGGAGTCATTCTTGTTCTTAACTACTAAGTGAAGATCTTTGGTGTGCCCAACGACGTATTTTCAGCCTTACTATTGGTTAACATACAGTTAGTGTCCTTTTAATTCTCTTTTTTATTAAAGTAATAGTTTACTGGCCCAGCATAGTGCCCCTGGCTCACAAGACTTACTTGTATCCAGTACTGAATCAGCTTGTCTATTAAAAAATTTTAAAACTAATGACATTTACAGATAGAACATGTCTTTAATGCCGATTTTATATTACATGCTTTGAAGTTGACTGGACCCAGCAACTGTTAGTGACATGGCACGGTTACAGTGTTAATAGTTGAGGTATCAGGTCCACAGGTTGCCGGTAGAATATACTTTTTAGGTTACATTGGAAATACAGGAAAACTCAACAAGGATGTTTTTACTTTTAAGAGTAACATTTCCAGAGTTTTTCTTTGTTATTTGGATTACTTTATAGTAAATATTACATTGGATTACAACTTAAATGTAAGCATTCTTTTTAGGAGGCTTGTACATAAATCTCACGTTCTTAACACAACTGTGGTGGACTGCCAGTAACTTGTACAAAATTCAGCAAATAGTCCAGGGAGCAGTAGTGAAGTCACACTCATTAATAGTGTCCTAGGAACTCTCTATGATTGCTACAATCCTGTGTTACGGAGTTACAGACACATAGAGTATAGCTGAAAACGCTTGGTTTTTAAAATGGGTGTTTTCCTGTTATTAGGAAGCGAAGCTATAAATTGTGTGTTAGCAACAAAAAAATGCATACGTATTTTAAAAGGTACTAGTTTTGTTGCTGTTTCATTGAAAAGACAGGAAGCAAGACAGGCAAGCAATGTTTGCATACTTAAAGACATTCTTTAACTGTTCAGGAAAATGGGTATTCTTATTTTGGAGGTTTAGTCCCCAACTAGCGACACAAAGGTATAAGAAGCATAAAACGTGTAGACGATCATAGTAGTGGTTATTGATTAATACAGTATGGCGATTCTCTGGAGATTGTGTCATCAAGATCTTCAGAGCTTAATTACTTGGCTAATAGTACTAATGTTTGAATGAAAAATAAAAATGTAAACTTTTGATACTAAGGCACAAAATCATCCTGTATTTTCGTGTTACTTGAACTCACAAAACATACTTGAGTTCATCATTTGAATCCACAAAAATTAAGTAGCCATGGGTCCTTCGCTTACTAAAAAGTAGTGCATTTAGTTAAGAAGAAAACCTTGCGGCCGGGCGCGGTGGTTGACTCCTGTAATTCCAGCACTTTGGGAGGCCGAGGCGGGCGGATCACAAGTTCAGGAGTTTGAGACCAGCCTGGACAATATGGTGAAACCCTGTCTCTACTAAGAAAAATACAAAAAATATTAGCCGGGCATGGTGGCACGTGCCTGTAGTCTCAGCTACTTGGGAGGCTGAGGCAGGAGAATCGCTTGAACCCGGGAGGCGGAGGTTGCAGTGAGCCGAGATGGCGCCACTGCCCTCCAGCCTGGGCGACAGAGTGAGACTTTGTGTCAAAAAAAAAAAAAAAAGACAAAGAAAACCTTGCAAAATTGTTACTTTTTCATTGCGTAGTTTAGTTAGCCAAATTGTACTTGATAGAGCAAGTGCTTTGATTAACTTTGCAATATAGGAAACATATTGGAAGAAAACTCTTAAAAGAATTTTAACGTAATCGATGCTACTTTGAGACAACTTGAATGTGGATGTGGCCGCCAGAATCCTAGTGAGACAGTAACTGAAAATGAGAGGGAAAAGGTTGATTGTCAAAATTTCAGTTATTATAGGAGGCACTAAAAAAGATGATTTTTTGGCCAGGCACAGTGGCTCACACCTGTAATTTAGCACTTTGGAAGGCCGAGGTGGGTGGATCGCCTGAGGTCAGGAGTTCAAGACCATCCTGACCAACAATGTGAAACCCTATCTCTACTAAAAATATAAAAATTAGCTGGGCGTGGTGGCAGGCGCCTGTAGTGCCAGCTACGTGGGAGGCTGAGACAGGAGAACTGCTGGAACCTGGGAAGCGGAGGTTGTAGTGAGCCGAGATCACGCCACTGCACTCCAGCCTGGGTGACAGAGTGAGACTCAGGCTCAAAAAAAAAAAAAAAAAGATGCTCTTTTAAAATGGCCAGATCTAATGCTCATTGGTAATATTAATAAATACCTTTATTTAACTCACTGGCCCCTGCTGCTGGGTTATTTGATATTTTAAAGTGAATAGTGTTGTTGGGGCCGTGGGTGCTGCCTGAGGCTTCCCTCCCGCCACTCTGGGAGTGTTAGGATTCAGTGAAGACGTCCTTACTTGTAGAGTAGTGTCTGGTTCATGGTCTTCAATAAATGTTAGCAGTTGCAGGTGAAAGCTCAGCCTTGTGTAGATGGTGGTGGTAGAGAAATGGGCATAGCATCTCACATACTGAGAGTGGGGGCCAGAAACAGCTGTGTCTTTCATGGGAAATTTTAGGTTGGTTTGGCTACAGCAAAGAATAAAAGCAGTTCAGTTATAAAAGTCATTTGGAAGAGGCTTTTTAGAATATATTAGAGTTAAATAGTGATTATTTGAGTAGGAAATAATTATTAAAATCCTGAGTTCGGCCGGGCGCGGTGGCTCACGCCTGTAATCCCAGCACTTTGGGAGGCCGAGGCGGGCGGATCACAAGGTCAGG